TTGCTTCTGGTTTTTGATCTAGTTCATGGAAATTTCTGATTTTTACTGTGGCTTTTTGACTTTGCATTTTCCTCTATTTTGTAACCATTTTTCATCAATAAAAAGGGATTGTTTTTCCTACAGTCAAGTGTGGTGGATGGTTATCTTAGGGTCTCGTTTCCTGCTCTAGGTTGCAGCAGAGGAGCTGACCAAAGGCAAGGTGGATGGATGGTATCCTTGAAGGGACTGGCTTGACTTTGGAAGAGCTGGGGGTGGCCAGGGCCGACAGGGAGCTCTGGCCTGGGCTAGTCCAGGAGGTCACACTAAGAGCCGGAAGCGACTGAACGAATAAACATAATGAATTGAAAGCCCAAGAATTGCACAGACTTTTTGCCAAAACAGTCAGAACATGTTTTATGGAGGACAGTGAACAGATTCATCTTGAAAATACGTTTAATGTCTAACTGTATACAAAAAGTGACAGCATTTTCAAAAAAATATCAAATCCTGTATTTAAAGCCTCTTCACTACCATCATACAGCAAATATTTGTCATCTAGAAAGGGAAATGAAAAGAATACAGCAGCAGGTGATATGGTCTATATGCCTTCAGAAGTGTGATTGCTTAATAATTCCATGTTGTAAACAAAATGCAGTTAAATATCCACCCCAGAAGCACAAGCCAAAAACAGAAATATATATTTTCAAAACCAACCCAAACTTCTCAGCAGTTTTTACTCACAAAGAACACAACAACAATATGGATTTCATTGCGTCGATAAGCGTCAGGCCCAGAATTCAGGCTCACACTTGGGACAGAAGGGTTTAAAATGTCTTTTACTACACAGCCACGACCCACAATTGCTTGGTTGCAAGGGAAACGCCTCACAATTTCTGGGGGAAGTTGTCTAAACGGGACGGAAGTCAACATCAAGTCATACCAAGCAGAGATGCTGAGTTGGCAGGAAGCTCCACGTTTCCAAAAAAGCCCTTTGCTTTCCATGAAATCAATCTGATCTGTCACTGAAACCTGGATGCACTTTGCCCTTCTCTTCTACTACGCAGAGACAGAACAGGATCCAAAGTTACTTTTTAGATGGCCTAAAGACTTTCAGCGAACACAGTTACATATAACTAATGCCTTAAGCAAGCAGGGGGGTGTTTTGGTTGCTTTTTTTGGAGAGCGATGAAAAGGCAGGAGGCAGAACTGGGCCACTTTAAAGCCAATACCTTGAAGTCACAGGGTTCAAGAGCAGAGAACAAAGCTGAGCGTACGCAGAGAGGCCTGAGTAACCTGTTTTGTTCCTTAAATCCATCCCAGAATTACTAAGCATCGCACAAATTTCAACAACCACAGGATCTGGTTTTTCTCAGAACTATTTTTATGTTGTTTACACGCCAAAGTGTGCTGCCCGGAAGTCTCCTTGGATTAAAGTCACTTTTTGGAAGTGAATCACTCTCCATCAAGCATGGCGTGCATTAAAAGTGCACGCTGTTGCACGTACATCATCCCACTTGCCTTGGAATAGTTTTGCCTTTTGTCTATGCAGGAGGATAAACAGCAATTCTGAATTCAGGAGCAATGTTGTGCCCACTTACCTGGAAATAACAGAACCCAATTGGGACCTATCTCTGAGTAGACACATATCACATCGTCTTTCAACCCAGGAGGAAGAACCTCTTGTACTTTTATAACAGGTTGGTCTCATGATGGAGACAAACACCACATTTAGATTAATCCAACAAATCCAACAAGGGTTGTTGTAGGTTTTTCCAGGCTATATGGCCATGTTCTAGAGGTATTTTCTCCTGATGTTTCGCCTGCATCTATGGCAATCATCCTCAGAGGTAGTGAGGATTCTTGCCATAGATGCAGGCGAAACGCCAGGAGAAAATGCCTCTAGAACAGGGGTCCTCAAACTAAGGCCCGGGGGCCGGATATGGCCCTCCAAGGTCATTTACCCGGCCATTGCTCAGGGTCAATCTCAGTCTGAAACAACTTGAAAGCACACAACAACAACCACCACCACAACCACAACCCTATCTCATCAGCCAAAAGCAGGCCCACACTTCCCATTGAAATAATAATAAGTTTATATTTGTCAGAATTGTTCTTCATTTTAATTATTGTATTGTTTTAAGTGTTTATTGCACTACAAATGAGATCTGTGGAGTATGCATAGTAATCCATTCGTGGGTTTTTTTCACATTATAATCCGGCCCTCCAACAGTTTGAGGGACTGTGACCCGGCCTTCTGTTTACAAAGTTTGAGGACCCCTGCGCTAGAACATAGCCATATAGCCCGGAAAAACCTACAACAACCCAGTGATTCCGGTCATGAAAGCCTTCGACAATACAAATCCAACAAGTTTGTATCCTGAACTTTGGCTGGAAACAGTAATATACTCTAAGTTTTGTTCATAATATATTCCATTTTTAAACAGGCAGTCCCCAAGTTATGAACAAGAGAGGTTTTGTAGTTTTGTTCTTAAGTTGAATTTGTTTACAAATTGAAATAGGCACATTTGAAAAATGTAACACGAGCCGTATACATATACATAAGCTTTGGATAGCATAGGGAAGGCTTAACACCCTGTGGTGTTTGCTTTGCTGTTTCCCTGTTCAGAAGATTTCACCCCACTTTCTGTCCTTGTGATCACTGGATTTTGACAAATTTGGCTTCTTGTGGAAGCAAGGATTGGTGAGAAAGCTTCCCCACGATAATAACTCTTCCAGGAGTGAATTTCCCTTCCGAGGAGGAGATTTACCTCACTTCCTGTTGTCTCAGGGACTGCCTGTATACCAGACAGGAAAATATAGTGAAGTATCTTATCGGGCGGATCGATGATACGCACAATGTCATCTTTGGGTTGTTGTAGGTTTTTTTGGGCTATATGGCCATGTTCTAGAGCAGGGGTCCTCAAACTAAGGCCTGAGGACCGGATACGGCCCTCCAAGGTCATTTACTTGGCCCTCGCTCAGGGTCAACCAAAGTCTTGAAAGCACACAACAATAATCCTATCTCATCAGCCAAAAGCAGGCCCACACTTCCATTGAAATACTAATGTTTTTATTTGTTAAAATTGTTCTTCACTTTAATTATTGTATTGTCTTTAAGTGTTTTTTTGCACAAAAATATGTGCAGTGTGCATAGGAATTCATTCATGTTTTCTTCAAATTATAATCCGGCCCTCCAATAGTTTGAGGGACTGTGACCTGGTCCCCTGTTCAAAAAGTTTGAGGACCCCTGTTCTAGAGGCATTCTCTCCTGATGTTTCACCTGCATCTATGGCAAGCATCCTCAGAGGTTGTGAGGAGGATGCTTGTTTATTTATTTATTGTATTTATATAACGCCTTTCTCAGCCAATTGGCGACTCAAGGCGGTTTCCAACAAATCAGTATACATAAAACATAATAGATAAAAAACATTAAACAGTATAAGACATCACAAAAGCAATAAAAGCTTGCCATAGATGCAGGCAAAACGTCAGAAGAGAATGCCTCTAGAACATGGCCATATAGCCCGAAAAAACCTACAACAACGCAGGGATTCCAGCCATGAAAGCCTTCGACAATACGTCATCTTTTCACACAATTCTTTTACCCCCGAAATTTCAACTTCTATACAGAACTTCGAAAGCAGTCCTAGAAGCAAAGTTATCCCCATTCTCTTATAAAATAAACCAGTCATGGATGCGTTTAGGAATTTAGGAAGGGTTAGAAAAAGGTTTCCTATGGTTCTTCTATAAACAAAGCACCCCCAAGCTGAATTAAAATTTCCATACATTATATTTACTCATTTTAAATACCCAAAGTCAAGTTCAGTGAGGTCCAACGACATGGGGTAGGAATACTTCGGTCACACGTTCGGTCTAGGAGAAGAGAAAGAAGCCAGAGGCAGGATTATATGTTAAAGCATTCATGGGCAAACTTGGGCCCTCCAGGTGTTTTGGACTTCAACTCCCACAATTCCTAACAGCCGAAAGGCTGTTAGGAATTGTGGGAGTTGAAGTCCAAAACACCTGGAGGGCCCAAGTTTGCCCATGAATGCTTTAAAGCGTTGCGGTTTATGGGTCCTCCGTGTTGACATAGATGTGATGAGTTGCACTTGCTTGTGAGAGATGCATAAACATGCTGCAGAGTGCATTTCGAACTTACTGAAAGAGAATTGCCTCTTCCCAGAGCACACTATCTGTGTTTTGACACTCTGGGACAATGCAACAACCCTACAAGAGAAGGGCAAAGTGGTCCTGGTGGTGAGGTGGCATGCAAAAGATAAAGGGGCAGGCCAAGTTTGCCCAGGGACTGTTCCTTCTCCATGTAATAAATTCTGCTCAATGTTTTAATTCCATGCCAATTAAAAGGCCTTATAACTATCATAGAAAGTCCTCTTGTGGCATATCCAACCCTAGCGTTCTGCTAAGTTAGCCCAGCAACACTTGAGAAGAGAAATAGCAATTCTCAGCAGATCTTTCTGACAAAACTGGCTTAGGAAAACAGACCCAAGACATCGTCTTTTTGCTATGAGATCTAAGAGCAACAGACAGAATTTTGCACACATCTGCAGGACCAGAGCTAATTCTTGCTCTTACGTATTAGTAAATTACCATTAAATTTTGGAAAAAAACACTTTAATAAGGCCACCCAGCTCTCAAAGCCATCCTTCCATGAAGTGAGGTTGAGTTTTCATTTAGAGATGTGCTCCCAAAAGACAAGTGATGTACATGTAATCCATAAGCAAGAACTGCCTCGTGTTTATCACCCAAGAATGGCAATTAACCAGTAATTATCTGAGAATAAGCCCAACTAGACTCCTGATTATTAGCCCTAGATTAGACCTTGAGTCCAATTGCAGAGTACATAATACCACAGCAAGATAACAGTGATGCATTACACATCCAAGGTTCTGGAGTGCTGGGCAAGGAAAGATATTTCTGACCATGTTCTTCACCCTCTCCAAGTTGAAACACTTCAATACAGACTTCGGTTTGCAGGAATAAAACACACAAGACAACCAAAATGCTTTCAAGGTCTCGTCAGTCAAGCTAAAATCCTTTAAGTTTCACATTTAACATGGATTTTAATTCTGAAATGGCTTATGAAATGTACAAAGTCTAAGTCATTTTGGCAAACCTCACAGCTCAAGATTTACGCCAACGTCTAGAACACCTAAATTGACTCGTGAGACGATGCACAAACGTGTATAATAGGAATCAAGTCTCAAATATCTTTGCAATTGCTTCCCAAGACTAGAGAGGGAAATGAGCCGGATGCGGAGGACTGCCTCCCCATTAACAAGCCTTGCTTCCCTTCGAGCTGACAAATGGTTGTATGGTGTCCGGCCCATTTCTTTACAGATGTCTCCAGAACATGTAAATGATTAATATCACCTGAACAAACAAAGATACAGAAGGGGTTGTCACTCTGGTGAGGCCTGCAAGTCCATTCTCAATGAAGCAGTTATGGCAAAAAATTCCCAGGTGTCGTCAAGTCCCTGGTCTATTCCGGAGTTGTCCTTCCTTGCAGGGCCAACACCCATGTTTCCCAAGGAAGGATCCTCCCTCAAGCAAGGATTGCAGAACTGGGGCAATTGGCGCGTTTCTCCTAATTCATCTCGACAGACAAACAAAAAGACGTATTTCACCATTGGAACAGAGTCCGGCTTACACACAGAGTGCTCCTTCACACCTCAGACGGACCGCAGAAGGTGGGCGTGCTCTTCCAGACTCCAAAAGGTTACCAAAAACAACTGTTAAAAATTCTCTGTAAATAGCAGGTGGGGAGACCTTACTTCCGGAGCCTGGCGCCGCTTCAACGGTAAGGCTGTGAAAAGAGAAAGCGAGAGGTCTGTTTCTACGTCCAAAGTGTTCAGGGCTAGCTAATTCAATCAATAACGGTGCTCCATGCAGTCATGCCAGTCCCATGACCTTGGAGGTGTCTATGGACAACGCCGGCTCTTCGGCTTTGAAATGGAGATGAGCACCGACCCCCAGAATCAGACACAACTGGACTTAATGTCAGAGGGAAACCTTTACCTTTACCTAACTACAGTAAATACATGTAATCAACTGCTGAATGGTAAATCACACCTTTGGAAATAAGTCTCTTCCCATTAGAAACTACAAATTGTATTATGTAATGGGTTGGATGAGAGCTAACAAGCTGAAGCTCAATACAGACAAGGTCCTCCATGCAGTCATGCCAGCCACATGACCTTGGAGGTGTCTATGGACAACGCCGGCTCTTCGGCTTAGAAATGGAGATGAGCACCACACCCCAGAGTCAGACATGACTGGACTTAATGTCAGGGTACAAATGTTACCTTTTTGATAATAATAATAATGCAAGATTGGAAATGAAGAAGCATCAATACTTGTCTATGGAGCAGCATTTCTCAACCTGGGGGTCGGGACCCTGGGGGGGGGGGGGTTCAGAGGGGTCACCAAAGACCATCATGTATTTCTGATGGTCTTAAGAGGTTTAGCACTGCTGGTAAATCATCAGCAATTATAAGATCTATCAACCAAAAGGTTGCAAGTTTGAAGCCCCGGGTTGGCGTGAGCTGCCAACTGTCAGCTTAACTCATTGTTCATTTTTGCCTTCAACCTGACCATGTCTTATTTTGTCCTTTGGCGCTTGGTATACAGGGCCTCCGAACCCACGTCTATGTGGGGCTGAAATCACATTGCATCCCCTCCTGATGGTCTCCCATATATGTATTAACTAGCTCCAGTCCTGCTTACCATTCAAAGTCAGGCAAGAGGGGTGTGCTTAAAATGGAAACATATTTGGGAAATAGAAAATTGCTGGACTTAATCCCTATCCTCAGTTTTTTTCCCTTGTGTAGTCTTATTTAGAATGTCAATCTTAAGGGCGGGGAACTCTCCAATAAGCCATTTGCAAGTACCTCTGGCAGACCCTTTGGCCGAAGGATGGAGTATAAATACAACAACAAAAAATGTCTGAAGTCAGGCTGAGATTGGGAGTTTCTAGATATATAGGGGTCGGAGTTTCTAGATACATAGAGGCTGGAGGTTTAGCAGGGCCGGAGGTTTAGCACAGCTGGTAAATCATCAGCAATTATAAGCTCTATCAACCAAAAGGTTGCCAGTTTGAAGCCCCAGGTTGGTGTGATCTGCCAACCACTAGCCTAGCTCATTGTTTACCTAAACAATTCGAAAACAGCTTTAGTTGTGATTAGAGAAATTGGGTACCACTAAAAGCGGGGGAGGTGTTTTACGATGCCATAAAGAAAGAAGATCGGAAAATGCTGGGCAACCAAAAGAAAGGAGGAAGTCCTGACGGCTCTTTGTCATAGAGGACAGAGCAACAGCACCTCCTGGACTCGAGCCCAACCTTCCATGGCACCAGAAACAGCTGAAACAAACCACCTCCTTCTGTTTTGTCTGTCTGTGTATTGCCTATATAAAGTGGCATTGAATGTTTGCCGTGTATGTGTACTGTGATCTGCCCTGTGTCCCTTTCAGGGTGAGAAGGGTGGAATATAAATAAAGTATTATTATTATTATTATTATTATTATTATTATTATTATTATTATTATTAAGAACGCCTTTGGCAGAGAAAGCTGAAGATCTCTCCACCTGTCTTCTTCCTTTTTGGAAATCCTCCCATCAAAAGCCCTCCTCCGCTGTGATTGGCGGGCCTCTCAGCTGGCCCCTCAGCCAAGGGGAGGGCTGTTTATGAGACTTCAAGCAGAGAGGGGAGAGCAAGCGTGCATGGCACATGGCAGTGTGGAGCGCATGTGTGGGCAAGGGAGAGCGTGCGAGGCTGCAGGGAGGTTCGCACCAGCAAGTCCCTTCAAGGCATGGGGGTTCTGTGTGGGAAGTTTGGCCCAATTCTATCATTGGTGGGGTTCAGAATGCTCTTTGATTGTAGGTGAACTATAAATCCCAGCAACTACAACTCCCAAATGTCAAGGTCTATTTCCCCCAAACTCTACCAGTGTTCACATTTGGGCTTATTGAGTATTCGTGCCAAGTTTGGTGCAGTGAATGACCACTGTCTGAGCCCACAGTGCTATCTGGATGTTGGTGAACTACAACTCCAAAAAAGAAGGACACTGCCCACCAAACCCTTCCAGTATTTTCTGTTGGTTGTGAGAGTTCTGTGTGCTAAGTTCAGTTCAATTCCATCACTGGTGGAGTTCAGAATGCTCTTTGATTGTAGGTGAACTATAACTCCCAGCAACTACAACTCCCAAATGACAAACTCAATCCCCCTCTCCAACCCCACCAGCATTCAAATTTGGGCATATTGGGTATTTGTGCCAATCTTAAGAAATGGGGCCTCAAAGCTGAGTCCACAACATGAGAGTGTGGATAAGAGCAAACCACAGGCCACTTACTACAATGCAACCTGAGCCCTGCCACATGCATAATGGAGGACCTTCGCACAGTGACACCAGAGGCACTCCAAGTGGCCAGCTTCTGGTCAAAGGACATTTAGTATAATGCAAAGTTTTTAAACTTTGTGTTTTTAAATACTTTTTAACTGTACATACAATTCAGATACTCACATGGGGACCACCAGGCATGGACGGAGCCCCGGCAGATGCGGGCGGCACTTGGTATGGATTAGGCGGCGTAGGGTACAATCCTGGAGCCGGATAGGAGCCTGTGGGTGGGGGGAAAGGGGCTGGAGGCGAAGGTCCCCAAGCTCCTGGAGGGACGGCTCCCCATGGCACTGTTGGAGCAGCCCCCGGTGTGTGGGTTGGAGCTGAATAGGGCCCCGGAGGAGGATAGGGCACACTTGGAGCAGGATACTGACCCCCAACAGTGGATCCCCATCCTCCGGCCGGCATGGACCCCCAAGGCCCTACAGCAGGAGGGGGCGCGGCCGGCTCTGTTGGACCCCCGTATGGTCGGGGCAGCTCTGGAAAGGGCATATTTGGTGGAGGGTACTGCCCTGGTGGGGCGGGACCTGGGGGTGGGTAGGGACCGGCAGGGGGGCAAGCGGACCCAGGGGGAGGGAAAGGGACCGGCGCTCCAGGGGGCAGGGAAGGATACATTCCCGTGGGAGGTGGTCCAAAGGGCACGTTGGAGGTGGATGTGTTTGGAGGCAATCCGGACGGAGCTGCGGGGGGAGCGCTGGGAGTGTTGTTCCAGGGATTGGAACCCGGCCAGGCTTGGGGGGGCTGGCCAGCAGGCTTTGCGCTGCCTACGGAGGCGTTCTTGGCAGGAGAACTGTCCGGGAGAGCGTCTGCCAGCTGGAAGAGAGAAACTCCAGTGAGATAGGCAATCCACCATATCTATCAAATCATGTCATATCTCACTACTGTCCAAGGCATCAACTTATATCCAGCCACCATTTGTCAAAGCTATTCAGATATTCTCATTTTCAGACAGTCTCAATCTGATTTTATGATTATGTGTCAGGCTGGGAAACGTTTTGGTCCCATCAAAGGCTGGTACCAAACTCTCTCTGGTCTTTGCCCCGGTGGCGCAATAGGTTAAACATTTGTGCCGGCAGGACTGCTGACCAAAAGGTTGGCGGTTCCAATCTGGGGTGAGTTTCCTGGCTTGTTGTAGGTTTTTTCGGGCTACATGGCCATGGTCTAGAGGCATTCTCTCCTGACGTTTTGCCTGCATCTATGGCAAGCATCCTCAGAGGTAGTGAGGTGAGTTTCTGTCTGTCAGCTCCAGCTTCCCATGCGAGGACATGAGAGAAGCCTCCCACATGATGACCAAACATCCAGTCCTCCCCTGGGCAATGTCCCTGCAGACGGCCAATTCTCTCACACCAGAAGTGACTTGCAGTTTCTCAAGTCGTCTCTGACATGATTTTAAAAAATCATCATGTGTTTCTATAAGTTTTGTACAAGGAAAAGCATTGTATTTAATGGGACTTGAGCATCCACAGACGGGCCCTGGAACCAGAACCCAGCAGATATCAAGGGACCCACTGCATTCCCTCATTCTCTCTAAAAATCCTATCCCAATTATATCCTATCTGGTTCACATCAGCACTATTTTTTAATTTTAATCTATCACATGTGACCCGGCCTTTGGTTTTAAATGTTTACATGTTACTGTTGATTGCTTTTGTCTATTTTGTTCATGTGATTATGATTTATATTGCATTGTTTTGTTTATTGATGTATTGCTGGCTTGGCTTCATGTAAACCACACCGAGTCCCTTGAGGTGATGGTAGCGGGGTACAAATAAAGTGTTGTTGTTGTTGTTGTTATTATTATTATTAATTCTTTTCATCCTCGTTTTAATTAAATTTTAACACTGTCTCTTGCATGTAATCCCTGCTCTGTGTATTTTAATATGTATTTTCTAGAAATACATTTAAATAACTACCCTTTATAGAAAATATCTTTTAATATGTATATTTGTATAATTTTTATAATGTTTAGATGCTTTAATTATGTTGTAACCCACCTCGTGCCACAAGGAAAGGCGAGTAAAAAATAAAATAATAATTATAATAATAACGATTATTATTATTATTAGAAACACCACAAGATGAGTCCACAGCAAACAAGACCACTCTGCTGGCTGTTGTATTGGATCACACGTCGGACACTTCCCAAATGTCTAGGATTATTATCGTTATTATCATTATTATTATTATTATTAGAATTGCATTATTATTTTAAATATATGTGCTATTGTGGTTTTACTGCTTATATTGTCTTGTTAATTTTATGTTTATGCCATTTTTCTTGTATGTATTGATTATGTTACTTGGAAACCGCTCAGAGTCCCCTTGGGGAGATAGAGCAGTATATAAATAAAGTTTTGTTTTGTTGTTGCTGCTTAGTCCCTTGGGGACACAGCAGGTTAAACCACTGAGCTGCTGACCTTTCTGACTGAAAGGTTTATGGTTTGAATCTGGGGAGTGGGGTGAGCTCCCGCTGTTAGCCCCATCTTCTGCCAACCTGAGTAGATCAATAGCCAGGAAGGTAATGGTGCTCCATTCAGTCATGCTGGCCACATGATTTTGCATGTCTATGGTCAACGCCAGCTCTTCGGCTTGTAAATGGACATGAAGATCAACCCCCAGAGTCAGACACAACTAGACTTAATGTCAGGGGAAACCTTTACCTTTTACTATTGCTGCTTAATGGGAAAATTGAGATATTCCATTGCATGAGAAAGTACAGTGATTACCTAACAAAATTAATACCAGGCAAACATTCTCAACTGAATTCAATTTTATTTGTTGCTGTAGTTAGTTGCCATCAAGTTAATTTTGATGTCCAGCAATCCTATGAATACAAGACTTCCAAATCACCCTACTATGAACAGCTCTGATCAGGATTTGCAAATTCAAGATTATGACTTTCTTGATTTAATCTAGTTACCCGTAATGTGTTCTTCCTCTTTTCCTATTGTCTTCCACTTTACCAAGCATTTTGTTCAGGACACTAGAAATCTCTGATCAGTAATAAGTGGACCAAAATCTCTTTCTGATTTGCTGTATTATCTAGTGGCAACTATGTTCTGTCTACTTCATAGGGCAGGTGCTGGCTGTGAGATAATGAGATGCTGTAGACTACTATATCTGAAAGGGACTAAGCTAGGGATGGCTTGACAAGTGTTAGCCTTTCTCCAAAGAAAGCTACTGGTGCCCCCTTTCCTTCTCCAAAAATAATTCCTACATCTAATTACTTCTCAACAAAAGTTTGCTCCAGGCACAGTCAGCCCATTGTATGATAATCAAGGTGGTCAGTTGAAACATTCACACCTAGCTCCAGCAGACAAGAGTCCTTTGTCTCACCCTGGTCATTCCAGATATATAAACCCTTTTCCTAGTTACAACATACCTCACTACCTCTGAAGATGCTTGCCATAGATGCAGGCGAAACGTCAGGAGAGAATGCCTCTAGAACATGACCATACAGCCTGAAAAAACCTACAACAACCCATTCCTACAATCTTTCTAAACAACTTGATCCCTTCCTCCCTGCCACAGATTATTGTCCCGAGAACCAGAGACTGTTAATTTGAGCTTTCTCCGTCAAAAAACAGTCAATTTGGGGAAATATGAGGGTTGAAATCCGCATTTGGCCATGAAGATCACGGGTGACTTTGGACAAATAACACTCTTTTAATTTCAGAAGAGAGCAAGCCTCTTCTCAACAAGTTTTGCCAAGAAAATCCTGCAATGGGTTTGCCTTAGTGTCAACATGGGCCAGAATTAGCGTGAAGGGGCACAACAGCAATGACTCAGAATCTACAACTCTCTGCCCAAACACTGAGATTATTTTCATTAAGCACGTCAACGACTTAAATCAAGAAATAGTTTTCTAAGATCTACAGAGACACTCGTTGGAACACTTCAGCAAGCGAGAGTCCAAAAGTGGCAGATCAAACCCAGAACCTCGATCAATGGCTGATACCAAATGAGAGACTCCCCCCTGGGCACACAGAAAACTGGGTGACTTGGAAGGCGCTGAATAGAGACTGCGCTCTGGCACCACGAGATGCAGAGCCAACCTTGAGAAATGGGGCCACAAAGTGGAATCCATGACATGCGAGTGTGGAGAAGAGCAAACTACAGACCACCTGCTGCAATGCACCCTGAGCCCTGCTACATGCACAATGGTGGACCTTCTTATAGTTACACTAGAGGCACTCCAAGTGGCCAGCTACTGGTCAAAGGACATTTAATTAACTACCAAGCTTGCAAACTTTGTGTTTTGTTTGTTTGTTAAAAAATGCAATACAACTGTTTGGTTTGCTCCTGACACGATAAATAAATAAATTAAGCACCACAAACTCCTTATAATTGGGAAAACCGTTGGGATGGACAACTCACCGAAAAGTCATCAGCTGCTGACATTTTCCTGCAAAAGAGAGAGAGGAAAAAAGAATAATTTAATGTAAAGCATTTACTATTATAGCATGTAAGAAGTGTACAATATTCTGTATATGCTTGAGCGTAAGCCTAGTTTTTCAACCCCCTTTTAGGCTAAAAAAGTCCCCCTTGGCTTATACTCGAGTCAAGGTTATTTCTTATTTTACTCTATTATTATTATTATCACATTTCTTATTTTACTTTATTATTGTTATTATTACATTTCCATTATTTTACTCTATTATTACTATTACTATTACATTTATAATTTTACTCTATTATTATTGGAAGGATACATAAGCACATTTACATTGAAGAAGGTTAGAATAAGATTTAATCAGAGTTGGGCAGTCTTATCTTAAATTAGGTTCATGTAAATATTAAAAAAACATATAAACAATAAACAATAACACAAGGATTTAAAAACCTATGGCCGGGCCAAATGTAATAGTTAAAAAAAAACCCAAACGCTAGGCATGAACAAGATAAGATATATCTGGTAGGAGAATTTTAAAAGAAGTGAGGGGAGCGCAGCCCAGCCCAACCCAACCCAACCCAAATGGCCTTTTAGGCTTCCTCAATGTGAATAAATAGTTAACATTTGAAATAATAAGAATTATATCAGAGGATGCTTGCCATAGAAGCAGGCGAAACATCAGGAGAGAATGCTTCTAGAACATGGCCACATAGCCCGAAAAAATCTACAACAACCTAGTGATTCCAGCCATGAAAACCTTCGACAATACATAGAATTATATCTCACGGAGAAGGGAGGGCATCAGGATTTTGGAGAAGCTTGTGGGGTGGAGCAGGGCCAAAAAGGGTGGGAACTACCGATCTAGATACAACAGCTACAATCTATTTGTATATTAGATACATATGAATAAAAATACACACAAATCTGAAAGTGTGCCTGGTATCCAACAGCTAACCCATAAAAGTTAAATATAGAACTGTTACAGCAATAATTGCTCTTGGAATTCCCTATGTAACTGTGGTGCCACACCCAGGCAAGGAAAATGAGCCAGAGGGACAAGGGAAAATGAGCTGGAGGACCTTTACGCCAGCTGCTGACTAAGCCCAGAATGGGCAGAAACTATGATCACAACAGCAGAGTGGCAAACGCCCTTGGTATCAGTGTCACAACAATGGAATTCACATTAGAAAGAGGCATCTCTGCCTAAGTCAAACTGGCCAGCCCATTCTTTCACAACTTTTAGATTGTATTCACCTGTCATTCCCTGCCTGCTAATGGTCTTTGGACATATCATGAGAAGACAGGACTCATTAGAAAAGGCCATAATGCTTGGTAGGGTAGAGGTCTGCATCAATAGGCAACAAACACTACAGCAAAATGGAAAAATTGTACCAGTTGTTCTTGGACACATCTCTGAAGGAGGAAGCAGAATTCAAAACGATCTTGACAGATTAGAGAGATGATGGGCCAAAACTAACAAAATGAAGTTCAACAGTGACAAATGCACGATACTCCACTTTGGCAGAAAAAAACGAAATGCAAAGATACAGAATGGGGGACAATGCCTGGCTCGAGAGCAGTACGTGTGAAAAAGATCTTGGAGTCCTCGTGGACAACAAGTTAAACATGAGCCAACAATGTGATGTGGCGGCAAAAAAGCCAATGGGATTTTGGCCTGCATCAAGAGGAGCATAGTGTCTAGATCTAGGGAAGTCATGCTACCCCTCTATTCTGCTTTGGTTAGACCACACCTGGAATACTGTGTCCAATTCTGGGCACCACAATTCAAGAGAGATATTGACAAGCTGGAATGTGTCCAGAGGAGAGCGACTAAAATGATAAAGGGTCTGGAGAACAAGCCCTATGAGGAGCGGCTTAAGGAGCTAGGCATGTTTAGCCTGAAGAAGAGACGGCTGAGAGGGGATACGATAGCCATGTATAAATATGTGAGAGGAAGTCACAGGGAGGAGGGAGCAAGCTTGTTTTCTGCTTCCTTGGAGACTAGGACGCGGAACAATGGCTTCAAACTACAAGAGAGGAGATTCCATCTGAACATGAGGAAGAACTTCCTGACTGTGAGAGCCGTTCAGCAGTGGAACTCTCTGCCCCGGAGTGTGGTGGAGGCTCCTTCTTTGGAAGCTTTTAAACAGAGGCTGGATGGCCATCTGTCAGGGTGATTTGAATGCAATATTCCTGCTTCTTGGCAAAATGGGGTTGGACTGGATGGCCCATGAGGTCTTTTCCAACTCTTTGATTCTATGATTCTAAGAAGGAAGCATCTTAATGTAATGAATAATGGGTGGGGAAATTCATTTAATTAGAAGCATTCAAAGGTGACAACACACTGCTGTTACTCACCTCTTCAATACAAGCCATGCCCACTTCTGTTGTCACTTGTTGCCAACAGTAAACAGCATGCTCAAAGAAATGAGGCTCCTCTTTGAATAAAGGCTATCATTTAAACACTGATTTTCTTATTATTCATATTCCTATTATTTTCATAGTATTTTCCATACTATAAAATGACACATAGGAATATGAACATAAAAAATATAGCTACTAAAATTATCAGCAAAATAGAAGACCTCACAACCTCTGAGGATGTCTTTCACAGATGCAGGCAAAACATCAGGAGATAATGCTTTTATAATATAACATATAACATAACGGCGCTCCGTGCGGTCATGCCGGCCACATGACCTTGGAGGTGTCTACGGACGACGCTGGCTCTTCGGCTTAGAAATGGAGATGAGCACCACACCCCAGAGTCAGACACAATTAGACTTAATGTCAGGGGACTACCTTTTAACTTTAACATAGCCATACCGCCTGAAAAACCTACAACAACCCAAAATAGAAGCAACTACAAAAAAAAACCCCAAGACAATGCATTATTTATTTAAAACTTTTATACTCTGGTCTTCTCAACCTCCGCAGAGGGACTCAGGCCGGCTTACAGTATAAAATCAATACACAAATACAATTAAAAACATAATCACATCAACAAGTTAAATACAACAGAATAAATACACAAAACCAAGTCGCCAAGATAAAATCACGTTCATCTCAATCCGCCAGTGTGGTCAGTAGTTATTAGCTTATTGCTGAACTTCCCAATCATTCTGAGAATGCTATGTCCCAGAGCCAGGATTTCACTAGCTTTCTGAAGGTCAGGAGGGAAGGGGCAGAACTAATCTCCATCGGGAGAGAGTTCCACAACTGATTGTATGATTGTCTTCCAAGTATATACTGGTACTTTTGTAATGGATCTGTAAATGTCTGGAGACCACATTTTATCTCTGTACAACTGAAGGACTCGTTCAAATTTCTTAATCAACTGACACACATCTGAACTTTTCTTGCGTGTTTAGCACGGAGGGCAAATTGTATCGATTTAGCCCCTAAATCCTCAATTTAAGTCCTTCTAAGTGCAAGAGCCAGTCTTTTTTTTTGCTCACAACTATAAAGTGCCATGTAAACCAGTGCTTCTACTGCTGAAAGTTAGCATGTCTCATAGCTATGCTAGCATCCTATAGAGCAGTGGTTCTCAACCTATGGGTCCCCAGGTGTTTTGGCCTACAACTCTCAGAAGTCCCAGCCAGTTTACCAGCTGTTAGGATTTCTGGGAGTTGAAGGCCAAAACATCTGGGGACCCACAGGTTGAGAACCACTGCTATAGAGGTAAGGGATTATATTCTTAATTTCTTATTCAGTTCTATTTGGGAGATGTACAATTCAAGGGCACAATTCAAGGTGCTGGCTTTAGCCTATAAAGCCCTAAACGGTTCTGGCCCTACTTACCTCTCCGAACGCATCTCCACCTATGAACCGACTAGGACATTAAGATCGTCTGGGGAGGCCCTGCTCTCGGTCCCGCCCGCATCGCAGGCGTGGTTGGAAGGGACGAGGGACAGGGCCTTCTCGGTGGTGGCCTCTCGGCTGTGGAATGCCCTACCTGTGGACATCAGACAGGCCCCTTCACTGCTGGCATTCCGGAGGAAGGTCAAGACTTGGCTTTACGAACAAGCGTTTGGCTAAATAGTGCAATGGAATACAGGAAGATGGTACAACTGAACATAGGAATTGGTATAAAGGATTATGATTACGGACTCTGATTCTGATTTGTTTGCTGAGGCGCTACGATTATGATAATGATTGTTTTGATCTGGTATGTCTTGTATAATGTGTTTTAATTGCCTTTTTTTATTTTATTTACTGCATTTGTTGACCGCCGTTCTCAGCCCTAGGGCGACTCACGGCGGTGTACAACATATAAAAACACAGTTTACAATAAAGCAATAACACAACGAAATATCAAGATAACTATCAATAATACAACAATCATATAATTACACTAAATCATCCGCGCAGTCTCATCGTAGAATCATAAACCAATCTCGTAATCCATATTCCGTTCCAGTCGTCATTGCCAATTGTTGTAGCACTTAGTTAAACGCTTTCTCAAATAACCATGTCTTTAGGCTCCTGCGGAATGACATACGGGAGGGCGCCTGTCTGATGTCTACAGGGAGAGTGTTCCACAGCCGGGGGGTCACCACCGAGAAGGCCCTATCTCTCGTCCCCGCCAAACGTGCCTGTGAGGCAGGCGGGATCGAGAGAAGGGCCTCCCCAGACGATCTCAAGGCCTCGTGGGCTCATAGGCCGAGATGCGGTCAGACAGGTATTTTGGGCCGGAACCGTTTAGGGCTTTGTAGGCCAACACCAGCACCTTAAATTGGGCCCGGTAGCAGATCGGCAGCCAGTGGAGCTGGAACAACAAGGGCGTTGTGTGCTCCCTGCGTCCCGCTCCTGTTAGTAACATGGCTGCCGCGCGCTGGACTAGCTGAAGCTTCCGGGCCGTCTTCAAGGGCAGCCCCACGTAGAGAGCGTTGCAGTAGTCAAGGCGCGATGTGACCAGAGCGTGTACCACCGTGGCCAAGTCAGACTTCCCGAGGTACGGGCGCAGCTGGCGCACGAGCCTAAGCTGTGCAAATGCTCCCCTGGTCACCGCT